AGACCTTTGTCTGAGTGTTTATTAAGATTTTTTCGAAGTTTGTGGATTGTCTTTTCACTTTGTTGATTTTTGACGTGCAAAAACTTCTCAATAAAGGTGATCAGTTGGTAATTCTTTCAAGTATTTTCCGTGTGATTTGATTTTTGTTCATGAACTCTTTGCCTACCCCTATGTCTTCAAGAGATCCTCCTACCTTCTCTTCTAGGAGATTTAGTGTTTCCGCTTTAATGTTCAGTTCTTTAATCTATTTTGACTTCAGTTTAGTGCATGGTGTACTAATAGTGTTTGGACAGGAAATCCTGTCTGCTTCTTGTATAAGGATAACCACTAAGAAGATAACAGTGTACAGTGTATTGATTATCCAAACTGTCCTATTAATCAGCTTTGAAACTGTCTCATTCATATTTCTCAATTAAAAATAAATAAATTAAGAAAAAAACTGTCCTACCAATTTGATTTGAAACTGTCTCATTGCTATTTGTTTCTCAATAAAATTAAAATAAAGGAATACATGAAAAGACCGTAGGGCAGGCTAGGAAGTCTCAGCAGACCACCACCTGGCTGCAGCTGAGCTCGCCTCCCTAAGGTGAGTCGCAGGACCTGTCCGAGCTTGGTCTGCCTGTGACCTCTGGCTGTGACAGAGGGAAAGCGCTGCTCACAGAGGGAGAGCACATGGCACAGAGCCGAGCCTGAACAGAGGACGCAAAGCTGAGAAGACCAACAGAAAGGCCCTGAGCTGGGACAAGTGCAACAGAGAGTGACTAGAAGTTGAGTCAGCCTCTGTGCCGTGGGATCAGGCAGCACGGAAGCTGCCCGCTTGAACCTGTTCATGTTACGCACTTTGTAACAGTTCCATTCCATCTCTGTAAAACCCACTTAGGAGGCAAAGCCAGTGCTGGGGGCGCAGCTCAGTAGCAGGCTGCGCGCTCAGCACGGCCCAGACCACAGCCTTGAGGGCAGGTACCCTGGCAGCCCATCCTAAGCATCAGGAAAGCAGGATGTTCATTACGCTTTTCTTAGCAGGAAATTAATTTCCAGGGAATTAAACGAGTTGACCAAAGGGTCTTAAGCAGGTAACACCCCATTCCAGATGCCGAGCCCCCTGACACCACTTGGCCCCTCCTGCAGGCCACAACCAAGAATATTCTGCTATGGCTTTGATTCCTGTACTGGGCATTGGGTGTAGTGGGCACCAAAGCTGAGGCCTCATCCGACAGCACCTTTTGCTATTTTTTAACAAGCATAAACACACAGAGAAAGGCTAACCAGAAATGACTGGTCAGTTAAGTTCACTTCATCTTGACCCACAAAGGGTGAGAATGGACATTACTTCTGTAACAAGTTATATTCTACAATGATAAGCTAATTAAATGTATAATCCAGAGTTCAAATGAAAACAAAATCTAGAGGTAAAGTTGGCAAAATCCAATTTCCAGGATTACAAAGATCTGCTCTGGGACTGCTTGTATCACAAAAATCATCAATTGTAATCATCACAGTAAAGGCATTTGGGCCAGAAGCACTGATGGATGGTAACCCAGAGGAAGTTTTCACGAGGAGTAGAACATTTGTATCATCTTTAATAGGCCTCCTTCTCTGTTGCAAAGAAAACTTACAATAAAAAATCTGGGTGCTCAACAATGACCTTCCCAAGGGCCAGCCAAATAGCTCAGTGGATTAAAGCACCTGCACGCAGGCGCAGGGGCCAGGGGTTCAATCCCTGGGCCTGCCATGCCAGCCCGGCCCCCGAAGTGTACTGAAACAGCAACTGAGACTGGGCATGGTGACGCGCGCCTGTAATCCCAGCCCTTGGGAGGCTGTA